AGCTACTTAACCTAAGATTCGGTGTTCCTTTTCTATAAAGTAGGATAAGACACATCCCAAAAGGATCGCTGAAAGAATTTAATAAAATGTTGCATGTCAAATGCCCACAACAGCTTAATCCATAAATAGTAGGTCAATCTCCTTTTTTTTTTTTTTTTTAAAGATTCTATTCATTTATTTGAGAGAGAGGGAGCATGAGAGAGCATGGTGGGGAGGGTCAGAAGGAGAAGCAGACTCCCCACTGAGCAGGGAGCCCGACTCGGGACTCGATCCCGGGACTCTGGGATCATGACCTGAGCCGAAGGCAGCCACTCAAACGACTGAGCCACCCAGGTGCCCTAGGTCAATCTCCTTATCCATCAAGGCCATCAGTATACTGCCTGCCTTGGCAATTATTGGAAAGATTTTATTTTTGTTTGGTGTTGTGTTTCGTTTCATTTTTAATCGCTTAAGTAAATGCCCTATATTTGCCCAAAAATATGTGTATATGGGAGGTATAAATAATAACAACACAATGACCCATGAACCAGTTTAAGAGAAGGCTCAATACCATTACCCAGAAGTACTTGGGCTCCACCTCCATCTCATTGTCCCCACCCCCCAATTACTTTGAACTCTGGACTCATTCTGCTTTTTTGGTTTGTAGTTTTAACATCGTGTCTGTATCTCCATACAATACGCCCAAACTAGCCTTTTAAAGTTTTATATAAATGTAACCATACTGTGGGTATGCTTCTGAGACTTGCTTTTTTCATTCAATATTAGGTGCCACCCATATTGTCTTGTACAGCTGTGATTCATTCCCTCCTACTCCTTTATGGCATTCGATTATACAAATATACCACAATTTATTTAACCATTCTACTGTCAATGGAAATGCTGGCTGTTTCCAGTTTTTTTCCTATTATGGGGCTGCTATGAACAGTGTTACGGGAGTTCCTGTTATCCACATGCAAAGATTTCTCTAGGGGAAATCCCTAGGAGTGGAATGGCTGTGTTATTGGATATGCACATTTTTTAAATTGACTAAATAATGCCTGTTACTTTCTAGTGCATCTCTAAGAACTTACATGCCCACAAGCAGCGTGTAAGTGTTCGAGTTATTCTATATACTCATCAAAATTTGATCTTTATCTTGTTGAAGAAATTCTTCCTTATAACAAGGTCACAAAAATATTCTCCTACTTTGTCTCCTAAAAGTTTTATGGGTCTGCCTTTCACATATAAATGTTTAATCCACCTGGAATGGGTTGTTACGTACTATGAGATAATGTCATTATTTTTTGGGTGAATCACCAACTCATTTTTTTTTTAAGATTTTATTTATTTATTTGAGAGAGAGTGAGCAAGAGAGAGAGAGAGAGGGAGAAGGAGCGGGGAGGGGGCAGAGGAAGAGGGAGAAGCCGACTCCTCACTGAGCGGGGAGCCTGACATGGGGCTCGATCCCTGGACCCCAGGATCAAGACCTGAGCCAAAGGCAGACACTTAGCTGACTAAGCCACCCAGGCATCCCACCAACTGATTTTTAAATTATCAATTTAAAATAATCATTTTAGGGGCTCCTGGGTGGCTCAGTTGGTTAAACAACCAACTCTTGATTTCAACTCAGGTCATGATCGCAGAGTCGTGAGATCGAGTCCCGGGTTAGACTCTGATCTGAGCATGGAGCCTGCTTGAGATTCTCTCTCTCTTTCCCCCTCTGCCCCTCTCCCCTATTCCTCTGCTCATGTACTATCTCTCTCTCCCTAAAAAAAGAAAATGAAATAATAATTTTAAGTAATCAATCCTTTACCCATGGACCAGCACCATTTTAAATAATTCTTTACCCACTAACAGCAGTGTCTAAAGTTTCTGTATATGTATCTGGGTCTGTCTCTGGGCACTTGATTCAGTCCCATTGGTCAATCTGTCTTTCCAAAGTATTTCCAAATAAGAATTCTTGCTATGTTTCTGGTAAAGCAAGGCACCCAGCTTATTCTTCAGGAGTGTCTTCGCTATTTTTGATCCTTTGCTTTTTGATATAAATTTTCACATCAGCTCATCAAGTTCAAACAAAATAAAACAACCCAAAACCTGTGGGTGTTTTGTGTGGAATTGCATTGTCTATAGATAAATTTGGGAAGACTTGACTTCTTTGCTAAATCGCTTTTTCCCCCATCCATTTACACAGTAAATTCTTCACTTACTGGCATCTTCATAAACGTGTTTCAATAAAATTTAATAATTATGTACATTAAGACACATGCTCCTTTTTTCAACTGTTTTCTTCCTGGGTGCTTTATCTATTTTCAATGCTATCATTGTAATGTAATTCATTACAATGTAATGTGTTTTCAATGCTATCATTCAATGTAATTAAATTACATTTTCTAAATGTTTATGGCTGAAATATAAAAACAGATAAATGTTTATATATTAATTTTGCATTAGGCAATCTTTCTAAAGTCTGGTTAACTATAATAATTATTAGAGATCCTTTTGGGGTTTTCTATGTACATAATCATATCATCTGCATAAAAAGAAAATTGTGCCTTTTCTTTTCAAAATCTCACTGGTCTGACCAGGACTTCCACCTTTGTCTTCCCTCTCCTTTTAAAGGAATTACAGCCAAACCTCATTATTCATGGATTCCGCATCTGCAAACGCACCTGCTTGCTAAGACTTCTCTGTAACACCGGAATCAACAGAGTGCTTTTGCGGCCATTTGTGGCCACTTGCAGGTGCAGAGTGGCGAAAAATTTGAGTCACTCTCCCTGCAGGTTCAGCTGAGGGCGAGCAAGGCTCTGTCTTCTAGCTTCAGCTCTTATGGGGGAAACATGTGTCCTTTTCGCGGTCTGTTTAGCGTCACGTTTTTCGCATTGTGGCGCTTCTTGTCAGTGATTCCACTGTCTAGTGCCCTGCACGAGAGAAGGCTGGCTCGTGACGTAGGAAGAAAATACATGTGTTGGGCACCTGGGTGGCTCAGATGGTTAGGCGTCTGCCTTCGGTTCAGGTCATGATCCCAGGGTCCTGGGATCGAGTCCCACATCGGGCTCCCTGCTTGGTGGGGAGTCTCCTTCTCCCTCTCCTACTACTCCCCCTGCTTGTACTCTCTCACTCTCTCTGTCAAATAAAGAAATAAAATCTTAAAAAAAAAAGAAGAAAATACATGTGTTCACACAAGCATCTTTCAGCCTATTCGTTATTTCTATTTCTGTGTAAATTATATTTGCCCAGACACTTGTCTATTTGGTTCAAGTTTTCGAATATAGTAGAATAAAATGTTCACCATATTTTCTTACATTTCAAATCTTTGAAACACCTATAGGTATGCCCCTTTCATATTTCTCATATTCTCCTTGTGCCTTTTCTCTTTTCTGTCCTCCATCGGCATGATGAGAGACATTTGGATGGGTTAGTGACGCCCCCAGGTGCTAGGGGCGCCTGGCTACGGAAGCACCTGAGAAAGAGCTCCTGCTTTCTCAGTGGATATTGCTGTGCTCAACCTCAACGTCCCAGAGGACCCAGGGGACCCTTGTCTGTGGCCCAATCCACCTTCTCACAAGGGCACCCATGCTAACCCCTGCTGATCTCAGACTCTTCCCCATGCGGACTGTGGGTCCCTAAGCCCGCCGTCTCCTGCTTACCTAGTGCTTTTCTCACCCTTGCAATTATAAGACCGAAGAATAACAGGTGTAACAGTGTCCCCCTGCTGTGGCAATTGCCCTCACTCAGCTGCCATATACCATAAATATTCTGAAGATGGGGAATGAGGCTGTTGACCCAAGGGGCATGAGCAGCCTCTAGCACCTGCAAGAGGCTCCAAAACAGATTCTCCCCTAGAGCCTCCAGAAAGAACGCAGCCTTGCCAATGTCTTGATTTCAGCCCATGTTGGACTTCTGACTCCAGAACTGTGCATGTTGTTTGAAGCCACTAAGTTTGTGGCTTTATGTGTTAGCAGCCAGAGTAAACTATATACCACCTTATCTGTTGCCTTCTGTCTTGCCCACATTTTTTAAGGTTTCTTTTTCTTTACTTTCTTAACCTTCCCTGTGATTGTTTCAATCATTACATTTTTTCTCTATTAGTTTGGAAGTCCTATACTTTGTATTCTTTTTGTGGTTACTAAAGAAATCTAAATTTATCTACAGACCAGAGTATCCATTATCTTTACACTCATAATAGATAATATAAAGGGGACACCTGGGTGGCTCAGTTGGTTAAGCGTCTGCCTTCGGCTCAGGTCATGATCCCAGGGTCCTGGGATCGAGTCCTGCATCGGGCTCCTTGCTCAGCGGGGAGCCTGCTTCTCCCTCTGCCCTTCCCCCTGCTTGTGCTCTCTCTCTCTCTCTGGCAAATAAATAAATAAAGTCTTAAAATAAATAAAATAAATAAATAAGGAACTTAAAACAACCATATATCATCACCTCCCTCCCAAAGTGTGTGTTACTACTAAGTAGTATTTTGATTCTATAATTCAACACCCCAAATTAAACATCGAGATTTTTTTCTTTATATGATTAATGATTGTTTAATCTACCCAAATATCTGCCATTTGCTTATTATTCCTTACTGCACCTCAGACCTTTCATACAAGATTACTTTCCTTCTAGCCAAAGTAAATCTCTTTCGACTTTCTTTAGTCAAGGATTGTTGTGGCAAACTCAGCTTTTTTGGGGGGCTGGGGGTTTTGTTTTGGGTCTTAAAATGTTTTGTTTTGCCTTGTTCTTTTTTTCTGTTTACTACTTTGTCAGGGTATGATTTCAGTACAGTAAATTGCATGTATTTAGAATGTACAATTTGATGAGTCCAACAGATGTAAAAGCTTGTGAAACCACCAACACAATCAAGATACAGAACATTTCCATCACCCCAACGCTTCTTCATGCCCTTGGCACTCCATCCTTCCTGCCCCCCTTGTCTCCGGGCAATCACTTTGTTTACTGTAACTATAGATTAGTTTCCTTCTTTCTAGAATCTTATATAGGTGAAATAATTCAGTAAATAGTTATTTGGATCTGACTTCTTTTGTCCAGCATAATTATTTTGAGATTGATTCACATTATTACATATATCAACAGTTCCATTTTATTATTGGGTTGTGTTCAATTGTATAAATATGCCACAACTTGTTATCACTTCCTTTGCGATGGACATTGGGTTGTACCGAGTGTTTTGACTGTTATAAATATGCTAAGGACATTCATGTACAAGTCTTTGTGCAAACACCTGTTTTCATTTCTTTGGGGTAAATACTTAAGAGCAGAATGACATATGGTAGGTGTATATTTAACTATTTAAGAACTGCCAAACTGTTTTCCAAAATGTGTGTACTATTTTAGATCCCACCAGCAATTCCAATTGCCCCCTATTTTTGTTAACATTGATGTTGCATTTTTAAAAAATTTAGTCATTCTAGTATATGTGTAGCAGGATCTTATTCTGTTTTGATGTGCATGTCATTGATTTCTCACATAGGCAGTCTCTAAGATGGCCTTTAACAGTCCTTACTTCCTGGCATTCACACACTTGTGTAATTGTGTAATGGCCTGAACTTAATGATTTGCTTCTAATGGTGAGAATACGACGACATTGGTAGGTTATCACTTCAGCAATGAGGTTACCAAAAGATTGGCTTCCTTCTTGCATGGCTCTCTCTTTTTCTCTCTTGAAAGTGGGCCGCCATGGAAAATTCTCAGGCATAATCTTTTCATGCATTTCCTCTGTCCTTTTTTTTCCCACTTCCCTTTCTGGAACTCAAACGAGATGTAATTAGAACGTCCTCCTCGAGCTTCCGTGCCATCTTAACTTCTTCAGTTATTTTCAATCTGTTTCCTGTGCTGTCTTCTAGATCATTCCTTGAATCTGTCTCCCAGTTCATGGTTCCCACTTCTGTTGTGAGTACTCTCCTGTAAGACATAGAGTGTTTTTCATTAAGAGGACTTTCATTTCTAAGGTTCTACTGGCTCCTTTTTATTTTTCATTTCTTACTCTTTGTGCACGCTTTTAATCCATTCTTTTATTTCTTTGAATGTTCAGCAAACTTACTTTCTGTGTCTGAAGGAGTTTTACATCTGCTTCTGCGTCTGTTATTCCTGCTAGCTTGCCTTTGCTGTGCTTTGTTTCCTTATTATTTTGAAATTTTTCATTGTCCTGATATTCCTTAGAACTTTACCTTTGGGAATTCTTAGGGCCTGCGTTGAAAATGATTTCCTCCAGAGAGGATTTCTATCTGACACGGGTGCCTGCGGCACCAATCGATCCTAAACTACTTTAACCTGTTCTTGTTTAAGGTTTTAGGAATCACCAGGTGTGGTAAATTTTGGTAATGAATATACATGAAGGGAGGCTTATAATTTTGAATTATCAAGAAAGATTTGTTTTCTGCTACTCCAAGATTCAAGAGAGGTAGTTTCCTTGCAGACCCTCCCCCTCCTTAACCTAGGTGCGGATTTATTTCCAATTCATTATTACCCTCAGGAAATAGTCTTTTGAGTCTCAGCTTTATGCAAGAGACCTATAATTAGACACTCCATGGGCAGTCTTGGCTTTTGTCAAATGTCACTGTCCCCACAAGGCTTTGAAAGCCAAGCTCAAGTTCACTGGATTTCAATAAGAACACTCAAGGCAAAAGGTTGATTTAGTGTTCTACCTACTTCTGTAGGTTAAAGCTGCTACTTAGCCTGTGGCATCTGCGTATCTCTACCTTCTTGCTAGCTCACCGATGCATTTGGAAATAATTTTTAAATAGCTTCAGAGGCAGAGTTATCAAGTCCAGCGTGCTGCCAGAAATGGAAAGGTTCCTTTTAATTTTTGCAGGTTTCTAATGAAGTGTGAATTCATTTAACAATGTTCAACCATGCATCTGGTAAAATAATTCGGAGCACTTTGCCTTAGTCATTTCAGGCTGCTATAACAGAATACCATAGACTTGGTGGCTTAAACAACATAATTTATTTCTCAGTCCATGAGGCTGGGAAGTCCAGGATCAAAGTGTGGGCAGATCCAGTGACTGGTGAGAACCCACTTCCTGGTTTGCAGATGGCCATCTTGCTGTGTCCTCACATGGTGGAAAGCAGAGAACAATCATTTCTCTCAAGTCTCTTTTCATAAAGGCACTAATCACATTCATGAGGCTCTATCATCATGAGTTAATCACCTCCCAAAGGCCCCAACCCCTAACACCATCACATTGGAGATTAGGGTTTCACTATGAATTTGGGGAGAACATGAACATTCCATCCATAGCAGGCTTATTGTTTTCCAGGGAACTTGATTGTTTCATCTCAAACAGCTGCATGTGTAGCTTTAAGTCAAGATGTGAAAGGTGAAAAGGAGGTCAGTTGTGTTTTCTTGTCATCTTAAGTAAATTTTTCAACAAGATATCAGTCCTATTCCTCAACTTCATCTTCAGTCCCTCCCCACATGGAAGGGCTATTAAAATATTTTCAGGCATCCTAACATGGGTAGAATGACTTCGAATCCCTCTGTTTCATGAAAAGTGAATTTATGTAGGAAAATATAAAAGATATTAGTCTAAACATCTTTAGGCAGCTTTTTAAGAAACCTGGCCATCCAGATCATCCTCATAAGGCCCTTTTAGGCTGTGGAATCATGGAGGTTTAGAGCTGGAGGTCATTACTCCAATATCTTATTCAATAGTTAAGGAAGTTGAGGTCCCAAGACCTCAGCTGGGGCTAAGCCTGTACTTTGTACATTGCCTAGCTCATAGGAAGCAGGTGAGTTTGATTCAAGGGGCCTGAACCTCAGTCCTAATCTCTTTCCTCCAAGCCCCACTGCTAATAGCACTATTCGCAAAAATCAAGACTTGCTCTTTCAAACAATCTTACGGGTTTTGTAGTGCAAACATCCCACCCCCCAACCAGAAACATCTTTCCATAGCCTAATAAGACATGCAGAAGTATTGTTAATTTAAGATTTAACATGGATTTCAGCTTCTAATAGGTCACATCTTTGATTTGGCCACTCATAATTTTTATGTGCCATTTGTGCACTTTATAGCCCATTGGAAGCTTGTTGTATAATGTACATAGTACATTTATGCCCAATTTGTAGCATTACTATTTTAATTAATTGAAGAGGTTAATAGTTTTGTAGATTTGATTTTATGGCCCATATTTTGCATATCCATTACATATTTGATATTGCATTCTGGATCAGAAATGTAACCCCTAATTGTAACATGGTTCCCATGGGAGAATATAGCTCGCTTTATGACAGTCTCTTTATGACAATTTCTAGAAATGAATTATGGTCTACATATAATCTGTAGCATCAAATTTACAAGTAATGGAATTAGGATATGTGATCTGTGTGCTTTCATTTGAGGGGCGCTCTCAATGGTAGCAGAATCTTGACAATTTCCCATGGAAAGCCAATGCGACTTCAACATTTTGATTTTATGATAACCTGTAGAGGAGAGGGGATGGAAAATAAAGCATTTAAAGAAAGATTATACATTATTAATTAATGTGACATAAAATGTTCCCATCCCGCTAATAAAAAAATGCTGAATTTGTTGTTTTATAGCAGGATGTCTGTCTCCTAGAGAATAGCCAATATTGGTAATATTTTTTTTCATGGGGCGACTGGAACATTTTGCTTACTTACATGATTTACAAGGCTACTTTAGAAAAGGAACAATAACGACTCAGATGTGGATTTGTTCTAAAGTAGAGAAGTTACATTAGAGATTTAGGATGGTGGACAATGTAAAACATACATTATCATACAGAGGATATGGAGGCGATATGAAAATAAGGAGAATCATATGGAAAAGGAGGCAATACGAAAATAAGGAGAATCATAATTCGTTTAAAGAAATTCAGTCAAATGTGCACTTTGCACTAAATACTTCCAGAGGTCTGTATTTGATTTTGCATCTTTTGTTGTATCCACAATCCTAGCAAAGACTTCTGTTACCATTTAATGTTAACAAATCACTTATCAAACATGGTGACTTATGGTAATCCATGTTTGCTTAGTTAGCTGCAAAGTCCTTAACATGCATCAGGTCCAAGAGTCAGTGGTTACGGATGAACTATGTTCCTTAATAAGGAACTTGGCTTCAAATAGTGATAAGCTTAATCTGGTAAATCTGATTGCTGGTCATCATTGCAACATGAATGAATAAAACCCATTCTGACCACCTAATTGTTCCTTAATCTGACTATCACCACTCATCACATTCCTAAAAAAGTCCTATGAGACTTTCTCATTTAAACCTAGTTGATAGCTAATTTAACACTATCAATAAGGTGGCCAAGTAGCTTTATCTGCTTCTTTGAGATCATGAGCTGTCCAGGGATGGAGGTATTCAAAAAGGAACCGGGAGATCTCTAGGGCCACTTTCAAGACTGTGCCTCCCATTCTCTGAAGGAATGTGTACATGATAATGAGAATATGGGAGATGCTCACATGGCTGGAGAGTATTGGACACAAAGAGCAATCGGAGTTGTGATTGCCACTTCAAGCAGAAGCAAATTCAACCTGAAATTGCTGATATCACCAGTGAAACGTTCACCCATGTGTTATAAAATGAAAAGCAAAGGTCTAAAAGTCAGGAGTTCCAAATGCAAGTTACAGCTCTGCCACTAAATAATTGTATGTTCTTGTGGCGCCTGGGTGGCTCAGTCAGTTGGGCAGCTGACTCTTGGTTTTGGCTCGGGTTGTGGTCTCAGGGTTGTGGGATCGGGTCCCACATCAGGCTCCACACTCAGCGGGGCGTCTGCTTGGGATTCTCTTCCTCTCCCTCTGCCCCCACCCCCCGACTCTCTCATTCTTTATCTCAAATAAATAAATAAATAAACCTCTTAAAAAAATAATTGTATGCTCTTAAGCAAGCTTCTCAATTTGTTTTCTGGGCTGACATAGAACTCACTAATCCTTTCCAGCCTCAACCTTTTGCCTATTACTTGCCTGTTTAGACTAAACCAACTTTATTTCCATTTCTCAAGGAGACAGTTGTCCACCTCAAGGCTCACCACCTCTCTCAGCTGTTCCAGGTAGAGCAGAGAATGCAGGGAAGGTATTAAGAGACATGGGACCTGGCTTCAAGGACTTTATAATCTAACCCATAGTTCAGATGGTTCTCACCCACAGGGAAGGAAGAGTTAGCCTGCACAATGTTAGGTATAATAACTGCCCAGAGAGGAGAATATGGTGCAACAGTTGGCGATGACTTTGCCAAAGCACAGAAGGAATGGGGCTTGGATGACACTTGGGCTGGACACTCTTGGATGGACAGAGTTTGCTCAGGCTGAGGGCACAAGGAAGGTTATTTGAAACAGGGTGAGCAGCATGAACAGAGTCAGCAAGGTAAGAACAAGCATGGCATGTGGAGGAAACAGTGATTTGCTTGAATGAGAGAAGGTGGGACGTAAGACTCACTGGAATGAGAGCATGGGACGTAAGACTCACTGGAACAGTAATAATGAACCCGATTATGAGGTCACTGAAAAGTAACTTAAGGAGTTCATATGTGACATGGGAACCAGGAGGGGTTTGCGAATCCTTGAGTAGGTGGGTGTTTTGGTCCATTTGAGCTGCTATAAAAGAATCCCACAGACTGGGGGGAGGGGGGGGCCTTAAACAACAGAAATTTATTTCTCACAGTTCTGGAGGCTAGAAGCCCAAGATCAAGGCATCAGTGGATTCAGTGTCTGGTGAGACCTGCTTCTTGGTTCATAGATGCCTGTCTTCTTGCTGTGTCCTCTCAGGGTGGACAAGGATGAGGGAGCTCTCTGGCATCTCTTCTATAAGGGCACTAATCTCATTCATGAGGGGTCCACCCTCATGACCTAATCACCTCCCAAAGGCTCCACCTCTTAATAGCATCACCCTGGGATTTAGGTTTCAACTTATGAATTTGGGGGGACCACCAGCATTC